TATTTAATCAATTACCTAATCACATATAATGTGTTTTCTATTCTAAATTTTCATTGCAAAAACATTTTCTAATTGAATTAGCTTAACCAACTATTTCATATGGTAAAAAGACAACAAAACTAAACTGGTAATAATTTTACTATCAATTATTATTTAGATTCTCTCAAATCTTACATTTAGTAATTGCTCATTTTGTATCAACTTTCATTAATTTAATTTTTAATTTAAAATGTTCAAAAGTAATTATTTATTTTTTAAATTATTATTTAATATATTTATTCTTATTTTTAAAAAAATTATACCAACTAAACTTGATTAGGTGGAGTAAGAATTAAAGTTTTAACTCAACTAGCTCCATCTCCGTGCATCATCATCATCATGCCCAGCGGGCCGATGCACTAATTGGCATGTGGATGGGCTTGACAACTGTAATGGCCGCAAGTGGATGACTATGCTGCCTTGCCTTGGGCCCTTATTCTAACTTAGCATTATTATGCTAAGGTATCAGGTCCAACTCGGAGCGGGCTCAACAGATTGAAGGTTATCCAACTCAAGCCCATACCTAAAATTTTCACTTCTTCAAAGTCCAAAGTCCAAACTAACATCAAACTCACTGTCACACGCACTGACACACTCACACTCCATTTCTGGTCCTCTTCAAATCCCGAAACTTCTGGAAAAAAAAAAAAAGCACCTAAGTTTTTGCAAAAATGTTATGATTATCCTAGAATGTTATTATATGGTTGATTTTTTAATTAGAGAGTCCCATGTAATATTATATCCACTTATTTAATTCTAAGTCTAATGCATATGAAATAATTTGGGTTAAAACCTTTTATTGGTTTAATAACTTTTTAGATAAATATTTATGAGTCTTTAAAAATTTAAAATCAAGTTATAAGTAACGTTGTAGTGGTTACTCTCTATATTTATATAATAATCATATTTGTATTTCCATTCTAATGTGAAATTAGAGGCGATATATTATTATTATTATAAATTTACAACCTCACATAATATTATAATTATATTAGTTTTTAAAATTTTATGTGATTATTTCCTCATTATTCGATTAATGTACTCAAATACTATACTGATTTTTTTATTTGTGGATCTTACTTGTCCTATATCTTTTGAGTAAAAGAGGTTGAGGATAGCTCAATTGAATTTAGTTTTTATGTCATGCTTCCTATTTAATCAATTACCCTAATCACACATAATGTGTTTTCTTTTCTAATTAATTTTCGTAGCAAAAACATTTTATAATTGAATTAATTTAACCAACCATTTCATATGATAAAAAGATAACAAAACAAAATTAGTAATAATTATACTATCTATTATTATTTAGATTCTCTCAAATCTTGCATTTAGTAATTATTCATTTTATGTCAACTTTCATTGATTTAATTTTTAATTTAAAGTGTTTAAAAATAATTATTTATTTTTTAGTATGTTATTTAATGTATTGATTCTTACTTTTACAAAAATTATACCAACTAAACTTGAATTGGTGGAGTAAGAATTAAAGTTTTAACTCAACTAGCTAGCTCCATCCCCGTGCATCATCATCATGCCGGGGTGCACTTTCGATGTTGTGTGACCACCAATTGAAGGTAAGGGATAAAAAATCTTAGGCTTCGACGGTTCCACGTAGACCAAAAACAATGAAAACTTTGTAATGAGTACCTAGTGTGGGCTTCATAAAATCAATTGCAGTGTCTCATTGTTGGGCAATGGGCATGCATTTGGTAGAGATCTGATGTCTAGCTTTTACACGCTACCAATACCAAGCTAGCTCGATGTTGACAGCAGTGGCATCTTGGTACATATAATGTCATGCATTTGGTAGAGACCTCACTTGGCTGTGACTTATTAAGGATACGTTTCAAGCTTGAACTGCAACTGTGCAGTGGCCACCCCTTTTGCTTGAAATCTCGCACACTATCTTTGCTATGCCGAGACAACAGCACGTTGATTTCCTTCATCTTTTGTTGCTTTTCTCAATTCGTAAACCTCCTCCCTGCTGTTCATAAATGTACGTATCGTGGAGGATGTGCCTGGTAGTTGATCAAGAATGGGGAGTGTTGTAGCTCCCTTGAGCTCTTTTAAATTAAAATGATTAATATAGAAGAGAAATGAGTATCGTAAGCTTTTGTAATGCATTTCGGGGAATTTCTTTTAATTTTCATTTGGACATTGATATAAATAATTTTCAATTTAATATATTTATTAAAAAAAATTATTATTTACAAAAAATCTTGAACATACAATTATGGATACAGTTTGTCGAAACAGAGAGTATCCAAATTATTTTCCTTTGATATACTATAGTCTGTTTCAGGCTTCGAAAGTTTGAAGTAATTCTGATTGGGTATAGCATCCTTTCCTTTGCTACCTGGTCTCTGGACTCTCTTGTTCTAAACCTTTCCATTCATCATTAGGGAAGTGAGGTTGTGACAATCAAGATCTTATTTGCGATCATAGGTGGGCGTGCAGGATTTGGTTTCAGATCATAGAGTCAAGTCAAGGTGTGTACATTTTTATCTGACGTGCCTAGTTCTCAAGAAAAAAATATATACAAAATTAAATTAATGTGTAACTAAAAATACCCTGCCTTGTAATTTTGTTATGTTTCTGAAGTATAGCTCCCTCTTTGGCAAGTATAACTACCAAATGATTTCAGTGTTACATCTAAATTATGAATTTTATAATTGCCATAGTTACTTACCAGAAAAGTTTTCTCCTGCCAAAGTTTACGGGCTTGTAGTCTAGATCCTTTTTAGGAAATTCATTTTAAAGGTAAGTATTGAGTTCCCTGTTTCATTTCCATGCATTTTGATCAGTGACGACTAATGTTCATGATTGATAGAGATGTGATTGTTCATGCATCTCTACTCACAAGGAAGTAGCAATAGGAAAATTTATCTGTTGTGTAGTTGCACCCAAGCCTGCAAATTTACAGTTTAAGGGATGCAAACGCAATCCAATGTCTATAAATTTTTATCTTTGAGTTACCATTTATAGTAACAGCATACAGCCTAGGGTAAACTCCCAGATTGGAATTTTAAGCATCATTTTTTGGTGGATAACTTGCAATTGTTTGGCTTGCAGAGATGCTCTTGATGCTTTGGCTTGGTTCGTTATTGTTGTAGGCGAATGCTCATGACACACGTTGACCTTATTGAGAAGCTTCTGAACTACAATAGTAATCCCTCTCTCTCTCTCTCTCTCACACACACACACACACACACACACAAACGCTTTTTTGTTTATGTCAGCTGCTGCTTAATGTTCCAATCTGTTTTTGTTAACTTGCTTCGATTTTTGCAGCTTTGGAAAAGTCAGAGACTAGCTGAGGAACCGTCTGGAGCTACCTGAAGTTGGTATATATAATTGTAAGCTATTCTGGTTTCATGCATGAGTGTTAATCATTGCATGATTGTTTGCTGCTGTTTACTAGGTTTTACAAAACTTGGGCAGTGATGTTAAGCCAGACAATTGAAATCTGACTAGTTGTGCTTGACAGAATGAAATCAATGCTTTAGTTCTATGATTGATCTTTTCTATAGTTTGGGATATCCCTTTATCTTGGTATGGCCACTGTTTAGTTAAAGAATATGATATATCTTTTATGGATGCAATGCATAATAGAGGTTTATATACTTTATTAAAGTTCCCTTTGTGCTATCTTTGGAACCATGGGCCAGTTCCAGTTCTCAAAATTATTTATTTATTTAGGTTTGAATGTCAGATTTGGTCCCTAAACTTTCATTTTTGAACCGAATCTATCCCTAAATTTTTAAAAAGTACCAACATTATCTTTATACTTCAATTTTTGAGACTAATTTGGTCCTTTCATCAACAAAAGTGCTAGATGGCACGTTAAGTTGCCACGATATCAGTTCTTGTTTTAAATCTTTAATGACTTGAAAAATAACTTACTCATTACATGCTATTAAGGCATTTTTATTGTCTACGTTAGACTCTCAAGAAAGACACAGTGGACTCTAGATCGGAAACATGATGCGGAAAAAACTTGGTAACAGCCTCTTATTCACAAACTATGACAAGACAGTAGATAATGATGTATATCGGTTTGATTATTTGATGAATCTCATCAAAATCAACACCTAGTTCGATCATTCTAGATCTAATAATAAACATCAAAGGAGAAACCATGCTCTCCAAGTATTGCTCTACCAATTGACCTTCCTCCTAATATTTATCCATTTGCAAGCAAATCAAATAATTAATCAATTAAAGTCCACAAATATTGAAAATGAAAGAAAAATTGATGGAAATAGAAGTGCAAGAAAGGCAATACAATGGATTGGATCTTGTGGATGGTGGAGGGATTGGAGACACAACTATCAAAAACTATATCATCGAGAAGTAATTTAATGAGTTTCCACTCTTGCAAAATCCAATAAATTTTTGAGAATCTAGATCTAGGTTCTTGGAAGATGAAGAACCTAGAACCCAAAACCCAAATCATAGAAGAAGATGATGAGGAGGAGGAGAATCTGCAACCTTGACCTCACCAATAAAACCCACCACCATTTGCTACTTGATCCCTACATCCCCTTCTTCTTCTTCATCACTCCACACTCCAAGGTATTGTCCATCTGCCAAATCTCTTAAGACACCCTCATCCAAGCCCAATCACTTATGAACTTGAATAAGAGAAGAAGAAATCAGTGAATGGGAAGAGAACCAAAAGAAAGAGAGAGGAATGAAAGCAGAATTTAAGGAAAGAGATGAGGTTAGTTTTGCAATTTTATTTTGGTTAAAATACCAATTTGGTCCCTTAAATTCTAATGTGAACAATAAAAATACCATGGTGGCACATACTGAATAAATTATTTTTCATGTTATTAAAGGTTTAAAGATAAGAGCAGCTGATTTTGTGGCAACTTAACATGCATTTGGCACTTTCGTTGATGGAAGAACCAAACTGGTCCCAAAAAATTGAAGTTTAAGTATAATTGGGTACTTTTTAAAGTTTGAGGGTAAATTCAATTCAAAAATGAAAGTTAAGGGATTAAATTGGGTATTTAACCATTTATGTATTGTCGTAGAAGATGTCAGAATCTTATTGTGACAATGTGACCCAGTGGCCCTGGTTGATTATGGGTTTCGTACGGTAATTGTAGTTCCATTATCCAACATTCCTAAATTGGCAAATATCAATTGTTTTTAGAAAATGCTATTAGGATAATTATTTTATTTTATTATTTTATATAATTTAATATATTATTAAAATGATTGATTCTTTTAATTCATGTGAGATTCGTGATATTAAATGCATCAACTCATTTAATAACATATTAAAATTATACAAAAAAATAAAATAAAAAAATTGTACTAATAGCACTTCTCATTGTTTTTTGAGTCTACTACCTCAAATAGGAAAACACCAATTTTAATCGCTAAATTTTTTTTTTTCCTTTGGATCCACCTCAATTTTACATGGTCATAGAGACCATCATCACCACCACTTTATTTATTTTTTCTAGTGAGTGGTAGATTTTTTTGTATCCCCCTCAAATACCAGTACCCTGTTTGGACATTTGCTTTCTTAGTTCTTGACCCCCATGGCTTTGTACTGTTTTGTAGAATCGTAAACCTTTTGAGTTTTGAGGATATATAGTTTTCCAAAAGGCAGTAAACAATTGCAACCATTTTCAATGGGAAAAACAATATGTAATTTTCAAGCACTAAAAATGTTAATATAATTACATAAATGGTAATAATATCTTTAATATAATTATAGAACATAAAAATTAACAATAACATATTCTTATGGTTACTCAATAAATTAAATAAAATTTTGCAACACATGACACAACACTTACAATAAGATTTGGCAACACACGACACAACAGGACGAACTAATCCTGTTAGAATTGTGGGTAGAACAATTTGACGAACTAATCCAAACAGAACTGTTGCTTGATTTTCACATTTTTCTAATACTAATAAACCATCTTTGCAATCACCATTCCGCCAAACTATTCCTTCCAATTCGCTGTTGACTTGTTGACCAAACCATCAACAAGTTCTGCAGTCCTCCTCCTCACCTCATCCACAAAGGTTTGCAAGTTCCTCCTAGTAGAACCATCCTCCGCCAGGGCTGCTTGGGCTGCTGCCTTCCATTTCAAGGCGTTCTGCTTAATATTTGCTGCCTTGGCGCCAGATGTGGCCTCACTCAAGCACTTCTCTACTTCTTCCCTTGGAATTGTTCTGTTTTCAGCCATTCCACGGCTCATCCTCACTCCTGTCTTGAACACATCTATTAAGTATACGGCATTCATCACCTGATCACCAAATTGTGGGAATGCGATGACCGGTATTCCGGAAGAGAGTGACTCCATCGTGGAGTTCCAGCCACAGTGCGTCACGAAGCAGGCTATCGAAGGGTGAGCCAGAACATTCTCTTGTGGACTCCATTGCACCACTTTCCCATTATCCCCTACTTTCTCCCAGAATCCTTCAGGAAGATGATTGTGGGGTGATCTTATGACCCATAGGAATGACAAACCGGAATTCAACAGCCCATGGGCAATCTCATCAACTTGTTCTTGTTTCAAAACAATAATACTGCCAAATGAAATGTATACCACTGATGAAGGAGGTTTCGAGTCCAGCCATTCAATGCAGTCTAAATCAGCCTTCATAACATCGCCTCGGATGGTGATGTTCTGGTCCTTGTAGAGTGGACCAACAGTCTTGATCGGGCAGAGCTTTGACATGTAGTCAATGATTTCGAACTCGAGTTCTTGGAAAGTGTCCAACAATATGCAGAAAGGCTTACGGAGGTTCTTGTACTGATCCAAAATTGCCCTCCTCATGGAAGGATAACGCGATTCCGAAAGCAACAAGGTGGGAATTTGATCGTGCTTCAACAATGGCATACAGGGCAATTGAACGTCAATTTTTGGATGAGTTTGAGTTGGAAAAGGTATCAAGCCATGATAGTAATGGTAGTAAGCAGCGAAAGAGGCACAGGATTGAACCCAGAGCAACGCACAGGGCAAGCCAAGTACGTGCGCAACATCAAACACCCAAGGAATGAATATGTTGTTAATGAGGCAGGAAACGGGACGGTTGTGTTGGGCATTTTTGGCTATCAATTGAGGAATCACTTGTTTTCCTACCTTCTCCAGCTGTGGCAAGTATTGGTCAGGGTCGTCACGTCTGGGATCCTCGTCTTCCCATCCGTCCTCAAAGAATTCAAAACGGATAAAACCATCACCAATTGGGGTAGACTCATCACTGATGTTGTTGCCAACTTTTCTTAGTTGTTTTCCAGTTTGTTCGGGCGCAGTAAAGGTGACTAGCAAACCATTAGAGGCGAGACGTTTGCCGAGCCTGAGGAGAGGGTTGATATTGCCCTGTCCAGGGAAAGAAATGAGAAAAATGTGAACAAGAGACTGGGATCTCATTTGGTGAATTGGTTTTGCTTAGACTAGTGGTGTTTGTGAGGTAACATTGAGCAGGTTGAAGTGTTAATATATAGTGTGTTATCAACCCAAGGGTTAAATCGGTTACTCAGTAAATATTGTTTATGGGTTAGATTCAACTATTTAAGTTTTGGTTAATATTTTTAAAATGTGTTAAATTAATATGAAAGTATATTTTTAAAATAATTTTAAAAAATTAATTTTAAATTAAATAAAAGTTATTGAAAACATTATAAGTGTTTAAACAGAATATATACATATATATATATATATATACACCATTTTAGCTTTCAACTTTTACCTTGTATAATATTCATATAGAGGGTAAAATGTATCAACCTTTCAATTTTTTTTCCCCAAATAACTTGCAACAGTCTTTCTTCTTGTATATCACGCGGAAAGTAACTCAGACCAAACTCCATTGCCATCCTTCCTTCATCACTTAACACATGTGGAGCGCCTGCTCCTCGAAAAGGCATGGGACACAAATTAAATCCTCCCGAGACGTTGCACTCCACCATTCTAATGCATTAATGCCAATGAAGTCTCTGACAGAAAAATCAGGGTGCCCAACAGGGCGATGCACTAATTGGCATGGGGATGTGCTTGACAGCTGTAATGGCTGCAAGTGGACGACTATGGTGCCTTACCCTGGGCCCTCATGATTGTCTCTATTCTTTTTTTGAAAATAGGTAAGGTTAAACTCCTATTTTGGTCCCTAAATTATTGTACGGACCTTTGATTTAATCTTTAAATTAAAAAAATTCCTAATTTGGTCCTTGAACTATTGGACGGATTCCTGAGTTAATCCCTAAACTATTGTATGGACTCCCAAATTAGTCCCTAAACTATTGTATGGATGTTCAATTTGATCCATACTATTTACCAATTTAACCTCAACTTAGCCATTTTGTTAAATAATAGCTCAGGAACCAAATTGGAGCGAAATTGTAAATAACAAGGACCAAATTGCGGGTCTGTACAATAGTTTAAGGACCAAGTTAGGCCAAATTATAAACGGTGGAAACTAAATAAGGGGTCCGTACAATAGTTTAAGGACTAAATCAGGGATTTCTTTAGTTTAGGGACCAAATCAAGGATCTATATAATAGTTCAGGGACCAAAATGGAGATTTAACCAATAGGTAATGAAATGATTGTCTCTATTCTAACTTGGCGTTGTTATGCTAAGGTGTCATGTCCAACTGGGAGCGGGCTCAACAGATTGAAGGTTATCCAACTTAAGCCCATACCCAAAATTTTCACTATTCCAAAATTCCAAGTCCAAACAAACATCAAACTCACTGTCACACACGTATTGACACACACACTCACACTCCATTTTTGCTCCTCTTCAAATCCTGAAACTTCTTATCAAAATAAATAAATAAATAAAATTTTCCAAAAATGTAGTTATGATTATCCTAGAATGTTATTATATAATTTATTTTTTATTTGGGGAGCCACACAAAATATTGTATTCATTTATTTAATTTTATTACATTTGAAATAATTGAGATGAAACTTATCATTAATTTAATAACTTTTTAAATTAAGATTCATTGACTTTTAAAAATTTAAATTCAAATTATAAATAATGTTACAATAGTTAGCTTTCATATTTATATATTAATTATACTCATATTTATATTTCAATATAAAATTTGAGATGATATATCATAATTATAAATTTAGACAATGATGAGCTTACTTGCCAGTCCGACGAGTGACATTTTTGAGCAGTTTGGAATAAGAGAGGGAAATACCTAACCCAGCATCCATTCAATTATGTAGCGTTATATTCCTTTTCCAAACATACTGAAAGAAAAAGTTTTGCCAGGGAGATCTTGGGGGCGGTATCCTCTATTCTGCGTATTTGAACTATCTTTTAGAGGGTTGTAATCTGGTCGCTTCCATGAAAGAGAGGGAGAAGCAGATCCAATCATCATCTCAGAAGCCAACCAATTAGGCGACGAGGACTTAGGCGAATTTAAACCCTGAGTTGCTTTATCTCCAAAATCCCACCACTAGAAAGTTTTGGTCTTTTTTTTTTTTTGAACCTAAAAAGCTTTAATTTGATTCC